TCTGTCATGTAGTGCATCGACTTCTTCGCAGAACACTTGGCTTTCGGACAAAAGCAATGAAATATCTCTTAGACTGAGGGTTTCATCAGTAGAATCGGTAACAATTCGGACGGCTTGTGATGAATCAAACTTTACGAGCCTGGCAGGAGTCTTCACGCAGACAAAAAGGGGAGAAGGGGAATAAAAGATAGACAAGTGGGAAAGGGAGGAGAGGCTGAGTGCGAAAATAGTGGGCATCAATGGGAAAATGCAATGGATTTCTCCGTTCTACGCCTTTTCCTCTCAATTGTCCCTTTCTTTCCTCCTTGAAATCGCTTATCTCGCCCAGCTTACATGCTTATTTGTCTACTTTTCCGCCAGAGATTCTCTTTGCTTCCCCTTATTTATCTACTTTCGCTCACTTCTTACAGTACATTTACAAAACCAATAAAATTGCAATAACGCGGATAGGTATGTCAACTAACATGGCTTAGAGACACCCGTCGTCAAACTAGTAAAATATGTTTCATCCTTCGGAAGCTTCGGAATTATACAAGCATTAGAGACGGACAAGTAATCATAATAACTTCATCAATACAATGCATTTTCTATAAAACTGCCAAAGTCACATTTTTCTACCCTGGATACTCTATGTACCACCTGGACTCCGTCCATAATTCATCCTGGAAAAATGGAAACATCAGTATAACGACGATCAGCAAGACCTTTCAAAGGAATAGAAGTAGGATTTGCTTATCATGGCCGTTGTTAATCGTGAAACGTGTGCTGTTGGTCTTATCGCGTTCCATCTCCTCTGCACTAGCTCTCCGTGGCCTGAAAAAGTACTGTTTAACCGCAAAAGCGTCAGTTTATTTTAAAAATTGGGCAAAGGAAGTGGTATGAGAATGCGTACTACCCGTGATTCCGGCTCGAACACTTTGCTGCCCTGCCTCCAAGGTCACGGAAAAAGGTTTTCGTGGAGTCATCTAGTTTCTTCTGAAGTTCACTACCCTTCATGCCAGGGCGAACGAATTTGGCAGTTAGGTAAAACAGAAACAGTAATTTGTAACCCGATCAAGCGCTTACATCGAAGAACCTAGTAGAAACAGCATTTACTCAACGCTTGCTTGTCAGGTGTCCCATAGTTGTATAACATGTCAAAGTCGCCAAACATTGAGAGCGGTTTGAAACGTTTTGGTGATTCCCGAAATTAAAGCTTTACTCACTCCGGAATTTCAGGCGCATCCTAGGATTAATGCCATTTCACAGAATGTTCATCTATAAGCTAGCGGACCTACACAACTTACTACATGATGAGATATCGATAGATGGAAAAGCTTACAATGTGCACTGTGTTTTCAGAGTCTGTTCGTATTATTTGCAATTGAATGCATTACAGACACTGTGAGTCTTTTAGACAGACTCACGAATGCTTGGTAAAACTGGGCTAGGTTTCGAACAGTACAGTCACCATGACTTGCAGATTGTGATGGTATCTTTGGACGACTTTCGAATGAAATGTTCACACTACATTTTACACCAATGGTGACTGGCAACTTGGACCGCCACGCAGTAGTGCCTGGCTCTATGTTGATCTTGATGAAGAACAGATCCCAGCTAGTGGGATGTAACTCGGTCGTTGAACGTGCTTTCTAAACGTTGAAAGTGCGGTGTGTTCGTGCGCCCTATTCTCAGTAACATAAGACGCGGTATTAATTCATGTTGTCCCCTGTTCACCAATTTTCATTTTGACTGCATTCTACATTGCTTGTCAAACGCTCTTCATCATCCCTTAGTCCCGTTTGTATTTTTGGCGGCAACGGCAAGCCGTTCAACTTGTCGACCTTTTTGATCAACAGCTAAGGTTGAATGATCATACTTTTCGATGCTGGTCCGATAAATGAACCACAAAACGCTTGTGGTTGTGATACACAGGAAACGAATGGATTGGTCATTGTGAAAATCGAGCTAACTCTGTAGGGCGGAAAGGTGATTACAGACAGGAAAACAAAGTTATGCAAGGTATGAAATTATCAATTGTTATACTTACGAGTGATAACCCCACTTACGGTCTTGGCTCCCTTTTCTGAGGTCACGTTTGCATCACAGGATAAAGAAACGCACATGTTAACTGAGCGCTTCACAAACAGGCTTTTTTCTTGATTTATGAACATGAATTTGGACTCAGGTATTCTGGGGAATTTCGGGTAACGTCCAGGGGTACTTTGAAACTCCTTTAGGGATCTTTTTGGCATTTCTGGGAAGCCCGATGCATTTCTTGAGGTGAAGCCAAAAACTTTCTTCCGGTTTTGACCCAGACTTTTCGAGGCCCACCTGAAGTGCTTGCCGGCCGAGGTGAAGCGTCCATTAACCCGTTGGAAGGGCGTCTGAGCTGGACCAGCCCTGGTTCCTAAGTGGTAAGCGTGGCTGCTTCCCAGATATAGCTCCCGCTCTTGAAAATCAAATGAGGAGAATCGATCTCCAAACGACTCAGGAGAGGGTGAGCGGTACGTATTATAGTCAGGAATGTTACTACCCTTAAAACGTGGCCGGTGGGTAGCGGTAAGCCAAGGGGTTTCCTTCACATTTCTAACACTATTATTTATATTTCAAGGAATGAAGACACCTCCGGGACTGGGTGGCGGAGGGTGCCAACTGCAATCATATTCTTCGTGATATTGTTGACGGAGTAGGTCACTATGGTCGTTCACATACGTATCTCTTGGATTAAAGCCACGGACAGGTGGGAACTCTCGAACGTCACCAAACCAAGTTGGTTGTTATACTATTATATTATTTTTTCCTTAGGTTCCTAGTGGAACATAGGGCTTCAGTAGCACGCCAGCATTGCACTCTTGGTCGATGCTGTCGAAGGCGTTTTCAAAATCGATGAAGTTGAAGTAGAGAGTTGACTACCATACTCTGTCGCGCTCTATGATGATATGTAGCGTAACTTTGCGATTTGATCTGCGCATGATTTGTTCTTCCTGAAGCCAGCCCCGTCCAGGTCGAAATTTGGATTCAGAGAACCCTTTGGTCTCTCCAGGATGATGCGGCATAATTTGTTTGGGCTGAACGGGACCAGAGGCATGATTCCCGCCAGTTCTTGCAAAAGGCTAAGGTCTCCCTTCTTTGGGAGTTTGACAAGGTAGCCCTTCTCCCAGTCAGACGAAAGGTACCCTTCCTTCCTTCCAAACATTCTGCAGTAGTGGTGTGAATATGTCGGCTATTGTCTCTGCGTCCATTTTCAGTGCCTCTGGCTGACTTCCATCTGGTCCTGCTGCCTTTTCAGATTTCAGCAACCTCATGGCATTCAAGACTTCGGCTTTTGTTGGAGGGCCTGTATTCGCTGGTAGTTCTGTGGTTGTAGGTGGTATTTCTGGACGAGTTGCAGGTGGTGGTGGTTGATTAAAGAGTTTTTTGAGTGGTCAGCCCATTGCTTCCTTTGTTTCTCCTCTTTGGTAGCTAGGTTTCTTCACTATCATATTTGGTTATTTGATATGGTGTTGTCAGGTCTCTCCTACCGGTAGCCTGTTCTTCTTCATTTGCACGTATGTCGTAGAAGTGTCTTTTGTCTTTGCGCGCACTCTTCTTCATTTGTTTGTCCGGTGTTTTGTACGTCGTATTGAGTTCGTCTTTTCGCTGTGAATCCTTGCACTGGTTCGTCTTCCGCTTCACCATCTTCCTCTCCCTTTTCTATCGGCTTCAATGTGAACATCGAGATCTATCCCCTGTCTTCTTTCTTCTTCCTTCCTAACACGGTTATGCAGGTTTCCTTCCATATGTCTTTCAAAGAGTTCCAGTGTTCTTCCACGCAGGTGCCCTAGTTGGTTGTGGTAACCTTAAATCCAGTCACGATCTGGTATTGGCCTCTCAGAGTAATTGTCAGGCCTGTTGAGTAGCGTTGCATTCGACTGTGCACAAGATGGTGGACCAAAGCTGTTGCAGCCGCTTTATTGAAGGGCCAGGCAAACTGAATGGAAGATTTACCAAACGAATCACCAGCAAGCTCATCCCTATAAGATGCAAGTGAACTAGGTAACGCAGGAGTTACATCAAGCTCATACACTGTTTCAGTCTTCCGAAGGATAGGTTAGGGAAGGCCTGGGTCTACTGCACCAGAAAAAAGCTGAAGTTCTTGCAGACTCCAAACGGACTGCATTTCAGTTTCACTACAGAACAGTACACAGTTTGGCGGTTAGTGTTTAGTAATGTTCCAAGAGTTAGAAACAACTCCACAACTAGGTTCGGAGGCATCAAAAAGCAAAGCAATTCAAACTTTTAGCATCATCTATTCTGTCATTCCAATACACAACGACACGGCTACTAGCCTAAGATTTGGCGTGAAATCAACCTATCTGTAAGAGTAGGTCACTGGAAATCATGCGGTGATCCCAAAAAGTAAGGAACTTGCAAAAACGTTTCAGGAGTTTTCAGCAGTAAATATCATTAGCATCATCTCGATACGTTAAGCTTGATGACTGTCGATAATGTGAACGATAGTAGAGGGACCGAAATCAATCAACAGTGGCCCACTCGCTAGGAGTGAATCAAACATAGCTGACCTTTCGCAGGCAGTTGTTGCATATCAGGAAAAAAGCAATCTCTGATTAGGATATGCATCCTGAGTGTTTGCTGCCCAGCAAACACTGAACTTCTCAGCAGAAACATGAAGCGACAGAATAAAGAGATGACTAACATTAGACACCAACAATTCGATGCATTCATGTGAAGAATGCTCTTCACGTTAGTCTGTAGTCCACCGGTGACAATTCTAATGCCACAGAGTGGGACGGAATATTTTACCGAACTCAGACACCAGATTTCAATTGTATGAAATTGGCGTTGACGCTCTGTCAGTCAGCACGCACGTGCCACACTGGAGTTCATGAAACAAAACTACACAGTTATATCAGACATCTCTGAGGTCTTTTGGAGAAATAAGCTGACCACATCACTGAGGGTTGAGTGTCAAATCTACATCAAATGTTTTGTGAGACAATACGTACAATGTACAATTACTTAGTTGTTTGTTTGGATCAGTAGGAACCACCTAGTGGACAGTCATTGTGCGTTATTCTCGAAAATTCGGTCGTTCAGAGAAATGGCGGCTGAGGCGGCGAAAGTGTTCTTCGATTTATCTGCAGATGGCAAGCCGTTAGGAAGAGTTGTTTTCCAAGTAGGTTTATTCTACATCACTTACGTTTTCTAGCTGTCTGCTGACACTCCCAAAACTTCTGAAAACTTCCGAGCCCTCTGCACTCATGAGAAAGGATATGGCTATAAAAAGAGTGTATTTCATCGCATAATCCCGAATTTCATGTGCCAAGGTGGTGATTTCACTAATGCTGATGGTACCGGTGGCAAAAGCATTTATGGGTCAAAGTTCGCAGACGAAAATTTCAAGCTTAAGCACAAGCCATTCGTCTTGTCCATGGCCAACTCTGGTCCAAACACCAACGGTTCTCAATTCTTTATTACTACCGTTGCTTGTCCGTGGCTCGACGGCAAGCATGTTGTATTCGGTGATGTTGTAGAAGGTCAGCAAATCGTCAAAAATTTGGAGAAATATGGTTCTGAGTCTGGGAAGACTAATGCAACTGTCGTTGTTGATGACTGTGGACAGTGCTAAATTTGGCTCTTCTATACACCTCTTATATATGTCCTTATCAATAAAACTCAGTCGGTATGAGTAAACCTGCTTTTTGGGTGCCTTGTATTCTGTTTGACGTTGCCACGGATGGCAATCCTCAGTGGTTTTTTATTTTTTTTCAGAACCACCTATCTTTCCACTAATAAACAGTGGTGCACTCGGTGTCAGGCTTTATAGTCTCAGAATTTCCAGTAAAGGTATAATATCCATTAACCATCACGAACCTGCTTCATTCTCTAAAATGCGTGGTTGTCTTTCATAGTGCGCGTTAGTTAGCTTTGAGTTCGTTTACGTGTATCGAAAAAAGTTCCAGCACGCTGTACACGATCTCCTTGACTGAGCATATTTTCCAGTTCACTCGCTGGGGGCTTGACGGTAAGGCATCCCGACTAGATTACATTTCTACAAATCAGTTCGTTGGGTAAGCAACTTGGAGGTTTTCAGCCCTCAGCCTGAGTGACCATGCAGTTACCTCCTTGAGTATTTGCGTATCTAGGTCACCCGATCAGCCACTAGTCAGGAACTACAAGAGAACATTGAGAGAATGTCCGGCAAGACTTAGAATGTCCCGCTTGCTTAAGTTGCCATGATCTACTGGATTTTGATGTCAGAAGCGATCAGTTGAAGAATATGATCCTCCAGATGATTAAAGGCATCGCTCTGGTTTCAATAGGAACCAACAAGTTCAACTCCTGGCCTGAGTTAAGCACGTGCAAAGTAATACGGCGTAAATGGTCATCTTGGAATCTATGTAGGTGCACTAATATCCGTTTTGACTGGCTAAATTATAAAGACATCTGTAACAGATGTACATTAAGCATCGGCAGTGACAATAGACCACCAGACAACCTTGTAGAACACCGGAGGGTGGTCATGGGATACTGTACTCGCTGGTGAGACAGAAGAGTAACAGCTCGCTTAGTTTACAGGACCCCATTAGTTAGTAGATTCGCCATTCGAACTCCGAAGTGGGAAACCTACTAGCTTATGAATTTCAAAACTCATTTGGGGGGCAGAACCACGCATCTGTCAGACACCCGTATTACAGAGGGGCTAAACCACATGGAGTTTAGACCCTCCATAATTATGAAAATTTTAAAAACACGACCCGAATAGGTCTCTAGGAATCAATGGGATTCACTCAAGACCACTCAGTGTGCTGTGCGCCCCACCAGCTGACTTCTTCAAATGCTCGTTTCTGGAAGGCAGGTTATCTTGTGATTGAGAACGGGTGGCTGTCGTCCTAACTTTTAAAGGTGGGAACTAACTACTCGCCTCCTACTACAATTGCGAAGGTCATGGAGAGAGTTACAAATGACTCACTTCAGAAATGAATCTTGAACAGACGGACGCTGTCGGGCAGAAAAAGCCTATTAACATTCGTTTACTTGACTTTTCTGAGGCCTTCGACAAGGTATACCGGGATATTCATTGTTAAGAACTACAGCTCATGGGTGCACACGGAAAATTATTTGGCTTATAGATTATCCGTACACCAGGGTGCAATCAGAGTTGGTTCCTGTCGATCTAATTGGTTCCCGATTCTCGATGGTGTGCCTCAAGGTTCTAAACTGGGCCCGCTACGCTTTCTTGCTTTTATCAGTGACCTACCAGGGGTCCTTAATTCACATTCACTATAATATGCCAATGATCTGATGATTTAGAGTGAAATACAGATGCCAACGGATATTTCAGTCTTCTAGGAGGACCTTACGAAAATCCTTAATTGGACTGCAGAAAACCTGCTACGTCTCAACTGGAAGTGTCGAATTATGATAGTTGACAAACGTAAAAGCAGTCCCAGTCCTTGCTCTCTGGGTGAAATAGGCATGTCACTCTAACATGGAACAAGATTTGGTAGTTACACTAAACGATACACTAGGAGCCTCAGTCCACTGTCGCCTTGCAGCCAGTGGGGCTTATGGAGTCCTGGGGTCTCTCCCGAGAAACTTAAGGTATCGAACTCCTCTTTTCACCACAGTGAACGCTCTATACATTCTTCCTCATCTATAAAAAAAGTTCGCTTGTGATATCCTCGTTCTTGAAAAAGGACAAAGTCATCCTACAACGGGTACACAGAAGAGCTACAAAGAAAGTGATTGGGTTACGGCACAAACTACGCGGACCGCTTAGTTGCTCTTCAGCTGCACCCAGTACAATGCCGAAGGATCTGAGGGGAAGTGATCATGACGTACCACATCGCCCATAATCCCCTCCATCCTAACAGGTCCCCTCTAAACTTTAGTCGGAACGCAACCTGAGGCGTCATCCGTTAAGAATAGAGCACGAACAAAGACCCGTGCTAACTCATTTGCAGTTAGTCTGTAATCTGTGGAATTCCCTCCCCGCAGCAGTTGTTACAGCCCCATCCCCTGATACTTTTAAAAGGGGGTTACACACACCTCAAGTCCTGTGGTACAGCTAGGCTGTACTCGAGAAGCTTTCCTCAGATCAGATGCAGTAATACCACCTTGAGAGCAGATTTATTAATAACCGTATATCTATCCTTTCAGGTTTTTCAGAACCGAGAAGATAATTGTAACCGTTCCAAACTCAGAACGTATTCCAATAAGACAGACGTTTAACCCAGGGAACCGCCGTTCACTAATTCTACAGCACGAAGCTTGATCTCGTGGTGGTGCAAATGTGGTTAAGCCCGGATATATCAGGGTCGTGTAACGCTCAGAATGAGTACTTACTGGCCTCGTAGTTTGTGAGTAGCAAGAAAAAAAGCGGGCTTGTTGCGAGAGGTTATACATATGCACGTCTGCCGTCGTGAAACTACCGATGCTGCATTGTCAGATTGAATACAGTCTTTGCTATCACTTTGTGAATGAACGTTTCATCTAGGTTGGCTACTTACCAAGCGACTGGTTGTGATATGCACCAGTGGTGTGCATTTGTTTGGTAACAATATAACCCACAATTTAGCAGTGTAACGCCGGTTTGTTTCACAGTGTAGGTTGGGTGAGATTGGGGGTCACCACAGGGTTGTATGTCTGGTATAGGTTTTCACCGGAATATTTTTTGCGAGTTGTATCATGGTTTACTTGCCTCGACTTTGATTAGCACCTTAAAAGCCTAGGAGACTGGCTTGAAGACATTCTTCAAGTGTCATTGAGGTCGATGCTGTTGGAGTCTTTATCCCGTCGGTGTGTTACGAGGGGATTTTCCTACCTTTGGAAGATTGCTGCTAATATTACTCATGATTACTCACGCGATTACTCCGTGATCTGGAATATGCAGTTTTTGAGACGCTTGGTATTGCTGCATTTCTCATTGCGATGTGTCTACTGATGGATGTGACCACTTGTCTGGGTGAGAGCTGCCTTTTTGATGTGGACTTCAGGCTGGCTTGTCTCAAGGGCAGTGGTCTTGGGACGCTTTTTCCTTCTAGGTCTTTCCATGCCAGGTAGCTTTGAGGATGTTGCTATGGCGAAGGGGAGTTTCTACTGTGGTGTGGATTGCTGTCGTGCTCTTCCACGGGCTGGGTACTTTTGTTGGCTGGATGGGGGGTGTAAGAGTCTTGATGTACTTTCAGGCCCATGCTAGTGCTGCCTTCCCACGAGAATGAGGTTTGGCTCAAAAGTAGCACATAACTCTCCACCCTGCGGTCTTGCAATGTAGACGGTACAGGTTTCCGCCGCCACATGTTGAATGGAACAGTCTACAGTAGGCTGTCTGTGACACTCAAGTAGATGCACTTAAGGACAAAATAGCCTCATGCGGTATGAGCAGTCGGGAAGTGCCATCCGCCGGCACGCTTCGAAGGGTATTCAAGACCCAGTCAGACGTATCGTCTTCAGCTGCTCTCGTCTGCCTTCATCTTATGACAGTAATAGAGTCCTCTAGACGAAAGTAATCAGTGGTTGAGGGATATTGGCGACACGGCTGAAAACCAGTCAATGGCGCAGATTTATTCACTCATTACCATCCGAAGCTTGGATATTCCCACTAACCTTCATCTTCAAACTGCTTGTCCACTGAATTAATTTACTTTGCTTTCACTTTTTCTATCCACTTGTTCTGTTTATACTATTGTAAAGTGTGGCAGCTTGAATCGACCCACTTGTATGCTAGGTTTTACGTTGATTTTGTCAGTCAGTCATGATATTAATATTGAGCCTCATACATCTTCACCAAACTCTCCAACCCTCATTTCTGAATCATTTATCTGAAAGTGACGGCAGTCCTCATCCTGAGGAAAGCTACTGTAATACTAAGTATGCTGTAGAAACAGTAGTATACACCTAGACCCTCAGGTTAGCAAACGTCATTCCATTTCGACAACATCTTGCGAACTGGTTGGTGTGAGAAGACTCATTTCAGCTGACTGTGACCACGTCAAAGAGCGGGAGCAACCTAAAAGTAAGTTGACCAAGGATCTTCGCACCCATCGCCAACAGTGATGGCTGGAGAAAGTGAGAGAGATGGAGAGGGCGCCAGCGTTGGGTAACGTCCGGTAACCATCTAGGCTTATTAAAGATAATGGCAAGAAAAAGACGATGGTTGATGAAGCCATCATCGAATAGGATGGGACCGTGATAACAGGCGGCTAGGACGTTGGCCAGAACACTGTTCAACTGACCCACAGTAACATTTCAGTTGCTCCATATCCAGCTGAACCTGAATGGTATGAAGATGTCGGTCCTGAAGTTGGGAAGGTTGCATCGGACCTAAACGATGCAAAGCAGAGGGACCGGACAATTTGCTACTCCAGGGTTTTCAAGGATGTGGTTGAGAGACTGCTGGTTTGAGTAACGGGTGTACTACGTAGTGTATGGAAATCAGAGGTATTGCCTTCAAACTGGTTTACTATGATCATTGCAGCCTATAAAGAAGGGAGAGAAGTTTTTTGTGACAGCTATGAGGGAATTAGTTTGACTGGTATTTTGTCCTAAATCTTAGGGTCCACAGTTTTCGATGCCGAGGAAACCAGGCAGGTTACAAACCTGGATGAGGATGCATTGGTCATATTTCTAGCCTTCAACAGGTCCCTGAATATAGGCATACATGCCGGCCAACGGTCAAGTCTTACAACTTTTCCTAATTTGAAGGCATATAACTGTTAACTGTAGGATGTGGCAGAGTCTTACTGTGAAATGAGTACTGAGCAAGTATGTAGCGCCTAACAGAGCCGTCTACCCGAAACCACACAGCCA